GAGCGACAACAACCACGAAGATAGATTTGACTGCACGTTTGGCGCGGTGGCTGGGCAACGGGCTGCCACGAAACGTGTTGCGGCTTCGTTTCCCGCACGGAGCAACTCTTTTTGTGATCCACAAATTGTTGTTCCGGGTCTACCAGGTATCCACGACACCGAAAAAATCCTAGAGAAGCACCGCTTTATTAAGAATATAACACAAAAAGAGACTTATAATGTACTAGCTACTCTCGCGCAATTTCGCCCGCTGCTCGGTTCAATTTGATCGTAGCGTGATGTTTTATAGCCTATAGCATTCAGAAACATTGTAGTTATCAGTGAAAGAATTTTGGCAATCCCACCAGCGGTTCCAAAGATTACATATTGCATACAAATTTTACCGCTTTATAATATTAGTATAGATGTGTGAGTACCTCTCAGCGAGCATGTCGGCGGCAGCGCGACGGCGCGCGTCGTGCAGATGGTCGCGCGCGAGGCGGGCGGCGCGCAGGGCGGCGCGCTCGGCCAGGCGGGGCGCGCGCTGCGCGGCGGCGGCGGCGCTGGCGGCGCCCAGCAGCGACACGGCGGCCCACCAGCGCGCCGCGTCCGCCTCCTCCGCCGCGCGCTGCAGCAGCGCCGGCACCTCCTCCGGCACCTCCTCCTCGCTCGACCTACTCTCCGGCACGTACTCGCGGGATACGCGAGCCGCCTCGTCCCATAACTCTGTCGTGCACGATCTCATTACTGGAGAATCCTTTTTTTACGACGGCCAAAGAGCAGACGGATTACCGATGGACAGTCGCAATAACGGAAGAGTTACGAGTGCGTTGCCGACCTTTTGGGAATCCTTTTCGAATAGATTAATAAATTACAAACATCGCATCATTAATTGATACAATGTTGCCATTATAAATTTACCACCGATATAAATTCCGCGACAACCAAAAATTACATATAAAACAATTAAAAAAATTTTGAGTCATGATTGATACCTGCAACGCCAAAGAAGTCACAATCGCGCTGCCGAGCTTAAAAAAAACATTAAAAACTATTTACCCAAGTCTTTATAATGTTGCACTACTTCACGAGGTCGATTGGCCCTAATCATGAGCGTCTCAAACTGAGGTAAGTCTCCGCGTTCAGCAGCTGCCTTCGCGCCTTCAACTAACACTTCTTCCACCTTAAAAACAATGAAATTGTTATTTTAGTAGAAATTATAAAAATACACAATAAGGAAAATTAGTAGCTCAGAATACAGAACAAACCAGAATCCGCGTTCACTCATAATTACATGTCGTCAAATGTGTCCAAAAACAATACGTCAATCCCCCCGCCAGCCGCACTTCCCACCCGCGTAGTGTTGCCGACAGTGGAACAATTCCCTTGGTTTGGGTTAATTTTACAACAGGAGGGTAAGATACGAGTAAACCCAACAAAATAGGTAAACTTACGATAAATGCAACAGACTAGTTGTTCACACATTTCATAGAGGTATCATAAAAGTTGACGATTTCTGGCTGTGTTAATTTTAGTTACACCTACTATACACAACAAATAAAATAAAGCTTTAATAAGTACAAAGGTTTTATTGCGTTCCCTTTTGCTGGTTTAGTTTTTTAATATGTCTTTAGACTCGGAACTAAAGATTAGAAGTCTACTTACTTTACTTAGTTCCTGAGATTAGCGCATTCAAGCAAACAAACAAACAAACTCTTCAGCATTATAATTAGTATAGATATATCTTAGTAGCATATGCTGTTTTCAAACCACCTTTGTCATAAATATATCTCTTCAAAGTGAATTGAGCAAACTATGCTCTGGCTAGATGATTTCCAAAATTAATCTAACCGTGCCCTTTGTATGATATGTAGTTATTTTTTGTCAGGGAAACTAATATGACATGGGCTCCATAATGGACAAAAATATAACCCACAACAAATAAATAAGTGGGTAAAATTTTCACCAAGAATGACAACACTCACAAAATGGCCGCATCATTTTCATAGAAAAATAAATCGATAAAAAAAATCAATAATTAATTAAATATACTATTGCAGTCGATGCTTGCAGATGAAATGTAATCTTATCCACTTTTTTCGTAATTCCAGTCGCATTTTTACTCGTAGTAATAACACAAGACGGCATAATGAAATTAAAATTGATACGATATTATACGTCACGACATGCCACATGCCAAAATTGACTAATCGTAGAAATTTCATACTATTCTAGTTGAGAATGGTTTTAGTTTCTTCTGTTTGAAGCGCGATGACGCCTTCTGGTTTGTTCTGTATTCTGAGATTAGTAGATACAACTGGTAGACACAATAATACAAATATAGCTATTAATTTTATTTGATAATTTGTAATTTCTATTATTTGTATATTGAGTATAGCATTATAAGCGCTTTGGTTTAAACTGTAAGCTTATATTGCTTATGTAATGAATAAATAAATCTAACCTATATTATAAATGCGAAAGTTACGATGTTTCGATGTTTGTTACGCAATCACGCATTAACGGCTGGAAGGATCTGGATGAAATTTGGTTCAGGCATAGAATACACTCCGGAATAGTACATAGGCTTTTTATCAAAATACCGTGGCGGAATTGTGGGAGAAAGCTAGTAGCTTTATAAGCGCTTTGGTTTAAACTATAAGGTCATGTAATGAATAAATAAATACGTCACCAATGCCGGAGCATGTTGTTCAGCGAGTGCGAGCGCCCTGTGATGCTTGCCATGCTGTACCCACATGCGCACGGCGTGCTCGGCCGCGCCGGCCCTCAGGAACGCGGCCTCGGCTTCCTCCGGCCTCTCCTCTGCCAGCGCCGCGGCCTCGGCCCGCGCTACTTCACTGCGAGTCATGCCTCCGCCGAGAGAACACAGCTCCATCGCAATGTCCCAACTACAGTAACGAAATGTTATTATGCTTTGGTGAAGTAATTACTTTATACGGAATGTTTTATTTTAAAGGTATATGTAAGTTTAAAAATCCATGCTACTTTTCGTTGCTATGTTGTAATTTAACAATGCCCACATAGTAAATGTATAGAGTGATATTGAGAGCCCTACAGAAAACCGGCGTGAAACCATAGCATTGTGTTTCGCCCTGTAAGGATACCGGAGTCCCAATCCTACCTCTCCCCCAATTATTAAAAGTCCAAAACCCTAATCCTTAAAGGTCAGCAACGCACTCGTAACTCCGCCGTTATTGCGATTGTTCATGGGCGGCGCTGATTGCTTACCATCAGGTAATCCGTCTGCTCGTGTGCCATCACATGATAAAAAAAACTACCGTAAGTTCGGGTTACTTTGACCCTGGGAGGTAACTTTAATCCAAATTTTCGAACCAATGAATAACGAATATATGTTTGGTTCTGAGCTATTATTGGTTAAAGGGTTTGGATCAAAGCTACCCCGCAGGGTCAAAGTAACCCGAACTTACCTGGTAGAAAAATCTTAAAGATTTTTTACTGACTTTTTTTTACAAGAATTTCGAAATAATTAGTAATAAATATGTGAAATCTATACAAATATTATAAAAAGGAAAAAATTTAGTTTGTGTGTAGGGGTTAATCTTTAGAACCGCTAGTCGGATGTCCAAAATTCTTTCTCTGATAGATAGCTGCAATGTTCCTGAGTGCTATAGGCACGCATGTGCCTATAGCACATAACTGTTTCACTATGCCTATAGCATTATAGGCATAGTGAAACATCACGATACAATCAAATGGAGCCGAGCAGCGGTTGAAACCGCGTGAGAGTAGCTAGTATATGTTAAGAAAGCATACCGTTGAGCCTGTAACGCCCAGCGAGCTCCCAGCGCAGCGAGTCCGCGGGCGGCCAAAAGTCGCGCGGCCGGCGCCCCGCCCAGCGCCGCGGCCCACTGCAGCGCTACCTGCACGAATGCACCATTATATTACTATATCGCTCATTATATTACTTCCTATCCTAACAATACCAAATGCGTTATTCTACTCGTGCGTATTTCGTTACGTTACTCGACTTACTCGTGCAAGTCACCTTTAACCGGACGATCAAGAAGTAATGGGGAAAGGCCTTTTCCATTGACGGGGAAAACCTACAAATAACTAGCTTTTGGGGAAAAATTTTTTACCTTACTACAACCACCCTGGTAACCACCATATTTGTTCAGTAGTTAATGTATCGTGACTGGTATGACAATTGATTAATGATGATGTGGTTTTTGAAAGTATACTGCTGATGCAAAGCAATAATGTAACGCGGCTCCCGGCTCGAAATAGGAGATGGAACGGACAGTTTTTAGCTAATAAAAGTCTCCCTCTCGCCCCACCCATAGAAAGAGAGAGAAAGCATAGAATGGTACGCTTTTAAAAAAATAGTAAAAGCGTATGGTTTTGTATCACTCTCTAATGTTTTGTACCCAAAAATGCAAGCAGGCTACTGAATACTAATCTTACTCACTCCAAATAATCTTGCTCACTAAAATCACTTCGATATACATAAAAGAAGATCATCTAGTAAATCCAACTACACACCTGTTGTTGGACCCCACTGGGTGCATGCGCGCGCGCAACGCGTTCAGCGCCCTCCCACTGTCCCGCTGAACGATACATCTGTATTGCACTTTTCCAATCTCCTGTATTTAACAAAATACAAATTTAATTCCTATAACGATAATACACAAAAAACTATTTGAACAATTTGTTTTATGATAAACCTATTGTTTATTGGGCACTTACACCCGATTTCTGAAAGGCTTGTCAACGCTAAAATTAACTAATCTACTGTTAAATCTCTGGTCAAGTCATCTGATTGGTTGTTGACAATTCAGTCAACCAATCAGATGAATTGACATGAGATTAAATTAATTTTAACATTGATCGGCCTTTCGGAAACCCGGGGTTAAAGTGAGTTAAATGTACGTACAAAAAGGCCATCAAAACATTATTCACAAATGACATTTAACAACTGTTTACTTTATAATGTACATGGACATATATCGATATGTAGTGGTTTAAAAATAGTATCACTACTAACCAGCCTGAATATAATAATTCTCGGCGGCGCGCAGATCTCCCGAAGCGTGTAAAGCCTGTGCTACGTGACGCCGCGTAGCCTCCAGCAGGGAGCTACGGTGCACTGCTACGAGACGTAGCATCGCTTCGTATTGAGACGCCTCCTAGTATTTCAATTCACTAATTCAAGTTATTACGTACTATTGCGAACTTTATCTTTATGTGTAACCGAAGCGTAGAAACAAACAATTTCTTTGGCAGAATTATTCGTATGGTTCATAAAAAAGAGGTCTACCCAAAAAGAAGATATCTGAATGTTTAAAAATATGTTTCAATAATTGGGTTCCATTTTTAAATACCGTTTTCCATGAGTAAGTTCTGTTTTCTATTAAACATGCGAATTCAAATAATACCTACATTCAAACTGCATTGTCTTTCTGCAAAACACAGACAGCTAAATTAAATAAATATTGAAAAAATAAACAATAAATAAATATAAAGCGTCTGGAAAGTATTAGTTTAACCAAAATAAAAAAACAGACCAGTCAAACCGCACCTTGTACATAGAAATAGCTTCATCTGGTTCCCCGAGACCGATGTATATTTGTTCTGCCTTCCGTAATTGTCCGTCCTGTCGCAGTTGTTGTGCGAGTGGCATGTAAATGTCCCGGGTTTGTTCCTCGGACAGCTGAGCGGCGGCCAGTCGCAGGCCGTCAGCGACGCGGCCCGCGCTGTTGTATGCTCGAACGCAGCGCTCCGACATACCACACGATACTAGCACACGTTCCGCTGTCTCCCATTCCTAGATAAACGAAGCAAATATAATTTACCAACATTTTTGTAACACACTAGACTGGTGCCTAAAAAAGTACTAGTCCAACTTACACTGAGATGACAACCCTTTTGGCATGGGTATGCTGTTTTATTGTTATGTTCAAAATTTTTCTTATTTAAGCAGTTTTTTTAAATATTATTTTAGTTCCTAAGCTCCACATTGTTGTATTTTTTTTTCTTATTATTGTACATATCTTGGCTTTTTTTCCTAAGTACTAATCGGTATACAAAAAAATATTGTCTTATAAGGTGCTAGTAATATTGCTAGTTACTTCTCTATAGGACAAGAAAACTTACCCGGGTAGATATGAAATGATCACCAAGTTTCTCACACTGCTCCCTGATGGACTCTTTATCGTCTATAGCCTGCAAATAACAATCTAAATTAAGTAAATATTTTTGCAAACATAACCTCATAAACGTAATATCCAATCACCAACAGGTGGCCGATTCAATTATTTATCGGTTAGGGCCATCCACAGGTAATTTACATTAACCTTTATGTCAATATCATTTACTCGATTCAAATAGGAGGGCGATAAATCTTGATGTATGAAATTTTAAATACTTTAATACCGGAATTACTGGCTGAAGAAAAACCTGTTGCTCTTGGAAAAATAAATAGATGCTCTGTATTTCTGTATAGTATATATGGGTATCCTCTTTTCGTTCTAGGATTGCAAAACACACCCTCTTATATACTTACGACATTATTCGGAAATGTTATGATTTTTATAGTTCAATGTTCAACTGTTATAGATCCTTACTATCTATGACAAAATTTGTTGTGTGTTTACTGCACCTTCTTACCCGTTTGAGACGCAAGACTGAACACAAGCGAAGGCGCTTCATAATTATAATTCACTTTGTGTGTGTGAATAAGTATTTTGAGTTAGTCTTATGTTAAGTAAGTTAAGTCTTATGTGTAGTTCTTGCTAGAGCAGGAGAAGGAACGGGGGTTTTTAGTCAGTAAGAGATCAGTACTCTCTCTCGCCCTGTCCTGGGCGGGAGAAGTCATTTATTGATTATCCCTCACAAAAACAATGGTTTAAAGTTTTTGTCACTCTATTCTTTTTACTGGTGTCAAAAGACGTTCCTGACGAGCCACGTTTAGCAAAAATAAGGGAGCCGTGCGATCTTTAATCCGTCAATCGCAAAAGACTGTACGACCTCTTACATAATAGAACGACAGAGCAACAGTTCTCTTCAACAGGACAGACCAATAGCCTAGTCACAGTGGCGATGCTTTACCTGTAATATCTGGAGAGCCTTCCTATGGTGATGCGCGGCGAGCGCGGCGTCGAGCGCGGCGCGCGGCTGTCCGGCCTCGATGAGGTGCGGCACGGCGGCCCCCGCCTGCCGCCCCGACACCAGCCACGCTCCCCACTCACCTTCCAACCGCGTCACCTCACCTGGGCATGCCTGACCCACCACAACAATACACATATGTATTACTACCTCCTGGAACTATGTCAATCATCGTAAAAATATCCACTAAAAATGTGGACGAGCCATGCTTCGGCACGAATGGGTCGGCTCGACCGGAGTGATAACATGGCCTCACAGAAAACCGGCGTGAAACAACCACAGCATTCTGTTTCGCCTTGTTAATGAGGTTACCGGAGGCCTTCCCCTGACCTCCAAAATCAAAATCCGCAAAAGGTCGGCAACGCACTCGTAACTCCTCTGTTGTTTGCAGCTGTCCATGGGCGGCGCTGATTGCTTACCATCATAATCCGTCTGCTCAAAAAGACGACATGGAAGTCCGTAGTTTAAAATGTTGAAAAATAATAAAAATATCGCAAGCAAGCTATATTTGAAAACAACGAAGTACCTCTCTAGCCAGTTGAACAGCTCGTGCATAATTATTTCCCTTGGCGTAGTACTCGACTGCGGCACGAGTGTCACCTTTACGCTCGGATATTTCGCCCGCCGTCTCCCACCATTCTTCCTAAAAGGAAAAACTGCGGCTAAAAACGAAATATTTTTGCTGCTTACGTAAAACTATAGGACGATTGAAAAACATGTAAAATTGATGTGTAGTTTAAATTTTTTACATCAAACAAATGGTATTAAATTACGTATTTTGAATGACACAATTTTTGAATGTTTGTAAACATGTAATAATGTTAAAAAAAACATAAAAGTTATAAGCCCCACAAATCCTATAAGTATGAAAATCATATGGAATTGTGCCTCCATTAGTGTCCAACTTGCCGGACTCAAGACGATCTAATGAATTAAAGCACAAGTATTGGGATTAAGTTTACAACATCCAATCACAAAATAGTGTTTATTTTTCAAACATTGTCAAACTACGAAAACGGTACATACTACATTATGCGTTAAAGTGTAGTAAATATAGGCCTTATCACAAAACAAGGTTTCTCTTTATCGTTTTAACCATCGAGCCAGTTTTTGTATTTGTGGGAATAAGATTCAAAATACAAAACCTGACTCAATGGTTTAACCCTAGACAACCGCTTTAACGACAAACCAGTTCCAGCGCTTTATGTGACGTCAACAGTGTGGGTCGCCGACCATATTGGTTCGGTCCGCGCTCCCCGCCGCTCGTAACACGCGCCCATATATTGTAACAGAGCCTATTACAGTCATTTCATTAAAAATCAACCCAGTCAAGAATACCAACGTCCCTAGAACTTGACACTCAGCGAGAAGGGGTATAAGTTTACCTGTATAAGTTGCGTGTGTACAGCGTCGAGTAGGTCGGTGTCGCGCAGTAGCTGTGGATGTAGCAACAGCAGGGCGGCCGCGCGCCGCGACCGTCCGCCGCGCAACCAGAGGCGTACCGCGCCCTGCACGTCGCCCGACGACGCCAATACTGCTCCTGCTTCCCCCAGCCGACCTGTCCAACTCCTATGTTAGTCAGTATCCCCAACCCTTTACTCATCAAAGCCCAAACGAACGCCAACAATCGCGTCTAAAATAAAACAGTTGGATTTTCCCCTCACTAGCATTTTCTCCTGTGTCATAGGTGCGGTTACAACACAATTTCACATACACATGACACCTAAACCCGGAACAACAATTTGTGTCAATCACACAAAGAGTTGTTCCGTGTGTGAGCCAGTTGGCCAGCCACCGCACCAACCGTGGAGTCAAAAAGCGTACCTATTGTGTCTCGAATAACCACAATTGAAACCGTACCACAAAAGACTGGCTACGAAATTGCTAGGGCTCATACATTTAATATAATCTGCTCGTTTATCACCTCGTCGAATAGAAAGAAAAAGGTTGAAGAAAAGCTTAGCCAGACGCAATTCCAAACATATTATGTATGTGGTTAGACTAGTATCATAATAATATGTAAGTCAGGCAAAAAGTATAAATATACTATAGAATAATATATTTTAATTGTTGATATTGTATACGTATACTTAAAGCATATAAAGTGACTTACGCTAATACTAGCAGAAAATATTTATAAATACAAGAAAATGTAGCTACCACCGTTTTGTACGTAACATCTAACATGTAAATGCAACAAATATATATCTACAAGATACCAAAAAGCAACATGCAACAAATATATATCTACAAGAAATTAAAAAACTATAAGAGCTATGCAAGACACATATGAAATTACTGTTAACACCATTCCATTACCAGTAGATGTCAAATAATCCATGTGTTGTTGTTTGAGCGTAGCCACGGAGGCTCGGTCGGTCCTCTCAGCGAGTGCGATGGCCTCCGTCCACTTATTAAACATCTTATACATGTTCACGGCCAGATCGGGCCGACTTGCTCGACGTACGTAACATTCCTCTGCCGCTGATAAATCTCCTTCGAATATCGCTAAGCGAGCTCTCACTAGAGCGTTATTTAATCCTGACAAAAAAAAAATATTTTAATTAATTAAACTAACACGTGCATGTTTGTTTGTTTTTAGACTACACACTCTTTATATATTACAGTCGTGGTGGCCCGGGGGTTAAGGTGCCTACTTCTCGTGCATAAGGATTTGAAACGTGGCAAGTACCAATATGACTTTTTTCGAGTTATTGTACTTTCTACGATTATTAAGACACCACTGACATACGGTGAAGGTAAACATCGTGAGGAAACCTGGACTTATAATTTGTAATTATAAGTTTGATATCGCCAATCCGCCTTGAGCAAGCGTGGTGATTAATGATCAAACCTTCTCCTTGTGAGAAGAGGCCTTTGCTCAGCAGAGGGCACTTATAGGCTGATGATGAACATGTACATACGTAATACGTACCTACAACAATGGATAAAGTAATACGCACCAACTGTAACGTCACCATCGCCTTCATCCGCAGCCAATTCGACGGTTTTCTCCAAGTAGAACGTGCGAGCTACATCATCCACTTCTCGGTAACATTTGGCAGCCAACTATGATTAAAAAAATATTTATTTATTAAGCTTTATTCATACATGATCAACACCGACCGACAAACTTTTTTTTTTTACTTGCTATAAACTAGTGCTTGACTGCGATCCCACCTGGTGGTAAGCAGTGATGCAATCGTTGATGGTAAGGCACACTAGTTTATTAAGAGCCTATTCACTCTAGCCTTGAAGACACCTAAATTATATTTGGACGGAAAGACTGCAGCCGGCAAACTGTTCCAGTCCCTCGATGTACGCGGTATAAATGATGGGGCAAAACGCTTAGTTCGGGCCGCAGGTGTCTCAACAACGTGAGTATTTGCCGTACGCCGGGATGTCCGAAGGTGAAATGGGGTTCGGAATCAAATCGTGCAATTCCTGTGCACACTCTCCTAAATGCATCCTGTAGAACACCGCAAGGCTGGCTACTCAGCGCCTGTGCTCGAGACTCTGAAGATTGGACCCAACCAAATCCGGATCACCAATCAGCCTCATTGCACGCCTTTCCACTGAATCCAAAGCCGCTAGGTGGCATTTTGCAGCACCAGCCCATATGTGGCTGCAGTACTCCACACACGATCGTGCGTAACTTAATGCCTTTGACATTATCTACCTGTCTGAACTTTGAATAATGCAGTGATAAGTAAAAAGGTGCAGCAGCAAACAATCAAGTAATTAGTCTAAATATATTAAAGACAAAAACTTAATATTTTATATGTAAGTTTTAAATATATACAACAAGAAATATACCGACATAAAATATACAATTTATAGGTAAATAAATATATTGTTAAGTATATATTTATTTACCTATAAATTGTAATAAATCTAATATAAATAAATAGGTATAGACACTACTTATAGAAGTACATATTTTGTTCAATATGATGATACAGCTAATATCTTCTAGAGATGCTCACGAATATTCAGCTTAAATGTTACTGTATAAAATGACTGAGTACAATCCACGTTAAACTTAAATAATAATGTATGTGTTCATCAGTACATTACCAAAATCATAGTACAACAAATATCTAAAAGAAGTATAAAATGTATTACTTGGACATCGTCATTGGCGAGTGCACGTTCAGCTAGCTGTCTCCACAACGGAGCCACGTCCGCGTTGTTGCCGACACCGTCCAAGTATCGGGCACACCCGGCGAGATCACCGTTACGAAGAGCATTGTCTACAAACGTACAAAATAATAATACATAACAACCAATATTTTACTATACAAAAACACCCGGTTTCCGAAAGGCCGATCAATGTTAAAATCAATTTAATATCTTATCAAGTCATCTGATTGGTTGACCGAATTATCAACAACCAATCAAATGACTTGACAAGACATTTAACAGGAGATTAGCTAATTTTAGCGTTGACAGGCCTTTTAGAAACCGGGTGTAAGTATAAGCTTATAATAAGAGAGAGAGAGAGAGAGAGAGAGTTAATAAAATCAAACTACGTAAATTCGTTTGAATCGTATTCAACTGGATTGAATTTGATATCGATTAATATGTATGGTATGTAATGTTTGCAATGAATATAATCTAATATCACGGGAGTAATATCGTCGCACATCTTGCGATTTGTTTAATGATAAAAAAAAATCTTTTTGTTTATTACGTTAGGTACGCTTTAATTTTAATTTTTAACGTGACCGAAAAAATTTCACTCTGTTGCTAAGAAACATTTGTTTAAAACCGTTTTGGTCCAAATCAGGTTTTTTTATCCAGTACGCCGTTGTTTTTCACTCTCCAGCTTGTCATTTTAAACGCAGAACTAATATTGCAATATGAACGACGACGTTATTTAAATTTGCGTCAAAACAATAGTTTAAACCGTGGTATGCCGGGAGCGCAGATATACGCGAGACACAATGTGTTTTCTATTGTGTCTCATATACCGGCAGACGAGCGGTTAATTTGCTACGGCGTAGCACTCCGCTACGCAGATCAGATCGGCTACGCGGAGAGTCATCGCGCTCTCACGTAGCGTAAAGGCGATCTTGAGCATTGATTAATTAAATCCGCTCCTACGAAATGCTCTATTAGCGCTCCATTAAAATGATTTATCCCTATGATAAAGATCTACGTTGTGCTAATTACCGGCTTCTGAAAGGTTGTTTCCAACAAGTCAAATTCAAAAATTTCATAAATTATGTGTGAAATCGTAACATAATTTATGAAATTTCTAATGAAATAATAATAACATCATGATTTTAACTATTAACAAAAATATGCCTAAAATGAAGTATATCAATGAATGAAAGTATGACCGTATCATAATAAATAATAAATTGTAATAAAAATGTCAAAATAATATTGTTTTTGACCTAGGAAACTACTCATCAACACAGCTAATTTCAATCGCTTACTAAAGGCGAGTCGATGTTCATCTAGCTGCAAATAAGGCAGTAGTCCTCCTTCTAGTACAACGCGTCTTGAGATAACTTCGACGGCGACAGCGCCGCCGCACTCCGCCATTTCAACACTGCTGGGGTCCCAGGCACTATACCTACGACGGAAATTATTTGAATGAAACCTCTGCAACGTGTTTTTTTATATCCTTGCCCCACATTAGGATTGTCTCCTGTGTCGTGGGACAAACAAATATGCAAAATCACGTACACAAGCTACCCAGACCGGAAACAACAGTTTTTGGATCACGCAGTGTTGTCCCGTGCGGAGATCGAACCCACGACACGTTGCATAGCAGCCATATAGTACATAGTAAAGTATATCAGTGATTAAGTAATCCATTATTATTACTTGCAGAGACGTCTTACTTACCATACAAGCAAATGAGTCGGTGTTTGAGCTACAACTGCATCACTATTTTCAATCCACTGCACGAAAGAAACTCCACTGGCTATGATTTCCTACAAATATATATATATTCAAAATATTAATATCTTTAGAATCTTTTTTAGTGGAATAAATCATTCTATCGATGAGAGGGAATGTCGTATCAGATTCTTAGTAGCAAAAACCAGGAAAAGGAATGGCCATTTCCTGCTCCGAACCGGGGTCGCAGCGCATAATTGCGCTTGCACATGTCAGCTGGAAATCGGCCCTAGTGACCTCATTTGTGATCGTCTTGAGTAAGCCCGGGCTCTATTAGACCCGAGATCTATAATAGTGTAATATTCCAATATCATTATTACAATATTCGTACCTTCTCTCCACTGTCGAGACGCAATAAAGCCAGTCTTCGCCTCGTGTCTCTCAGCAACAGAAGTTGTCCACTCTCGTTCAACTCGAGCCAGTCGACTCTAGCTTCGTGCCACCATTGCCCCAATTGAATTCCTGTATATACATTGTATTTAAATATATCTGCCAGCTTTATCTAGAGTTAATTCAAACATCATTCGTCGAATTACATGAAATGGCTTTGTTGTAAATCATCATCAGCTGGAAGACACACTCCACAGCAGACAACAAAGAATCTCCTCCCTAGTCCTTAGTTGTCACTTGCATCTATTGGCTCATTGGTTCACCTAGCCGGAGATCTGACCAGGCTACATCTTCAGATCCGTGGTCGCCACTGAGTCATAAAAGTGCTTGACCCAGGCGCCATCCTTCGAGCAATGTGGGAGTTATACATAATGTAGAAAATACTCTTATCTTCATTAAGTAACGACACGAAGAAATTTAAAAAATAATAATGAGTAGGTGGTTCTGGCCGTTAACTATTAACAGACCTGCATACATAGAGACGAAACAGGTCACAATAAAACAGTAACAAAAACAATATTCAGACAACGAGAAGTCTCTCACCAGTAGTAAGATCGACTACAGCAATGGTCTGCCTATCAAGTAAGTAGGCGAGATGCTTGCGATCGCCCATCTCCGTTCCACCTGTAGCGCCTTCGTTTATACGGACGCTCAGCACGTGGGGGTTAACGCGCTCCGTCCGAACCTATACAATTAAAACTATAGGATCTTACCTATGGTTTATAACATAAAACTAAATACATTTTTTTTAACTTTGCCCCGCACTAAGATTTTCTCGAGTATCGTGAGTGCGTTTATAAACATTACATTTCACATACACATCACACCTAGACCCCGAACAACTATTTGTGGTTCACACAGAGTTGTTCCGTACGGGAATCGGACCCACGGCACGTTACGCGGCCGCCAGTTGCCCAACTGGCGCTCCAACCGTGTAGTCAAACCGTGCTTTTGAACGAATGACGGATCGTAGTGATACCACCTCATAGGACATACAGAACATCGAGGAGAAGCAATGGCAATTAACCGTTTTATCATCAAAAGTAAGTGTGGGAGAGCCATGCTTCGGCACCAATGAGTCGGCTTGACCGGAGTGATACCACGGCCTCACAGAAAACCGGCGTGAAGCAACCACAGCGTTGTGTTTCGCCGTGTGAGTGAGGTTACCGGAGGACCAATCCTTCCCCTCCCTCAATCCCGCCTCAATCCCTAAGTCTCCAAATCCCTAATCCCTGAAAGATCGGCAACGAACTCGTAACTCCTCCGTTGCGGGTGTCCATGGGCGGCGCTGATTGCTTACCATCAGGTAATCCTTCTGCTCGTTTGCCGACCTATTACATAAAAAAAATTGAAATATAAAATATTAAAATATAATAATAAACAGCGGTCTAAAAATATTTTGATGTAGGTACAATTTGGAATGATTTAAGTATCTGAGATGTTGAAAGTAAAGTAATAAGTAGAAACTATCGTTTAATCTTACCGTATGTAGCACTTTATCAAGTCCATATTCTACTACGCTTAGTTCACCCGCTCGATGCAATAGACAAGCGCCGCCAACAGCTGCATAGACCCTCTCACCACTACCAGACCATGGAATCTACAAATAATAAAACCCTTTACATAGAATATTGAACCCTAAGCTTAACAAATTAATGCTTTATTAATTGATCTACAACCTCACTCGTCAAACCTCGCGCGATGTCACATAATATCAATGTTGAGCTAGTACGGCATACAGCGTACCAATCGTTACCTGGAATGTGGAAAAGATGTAGGAGTATATTTCATTTAATTGAAAGTAATTGGGTAGATTCGTAGGTCAAAAAAAATACTATATTTTAATTCATTGACCTGTCGATATACTAAATTTTCGATATTTTCAAGCAAATTTTTTTGGAATAAGATATGCTATTAGACGCAAAAATATTATGACGTCATAATTTGTAGTTTCATACAAATTTAATGGAAAGGTATCATTTTTGACATTTGGATAAAATTATTGAATTTGACTTATAGGAAACTACCAAATTCTTTCACGGCGGAATCGAAATTCTATGGGTAAATATAATAAAATGAAAAATTGTGTGAGGTTGAAGTTTAAATGTATAATTGTACTACCAATAAACCGCACGTTGAATATATCGGGTGCCTGTTTAGTGGTGACAGTGAGGGGGGGCGCGTCGTTAGCCAGTCGTGACAGCACCAACTGGCGACCACTCACGTGCTGTACCTCCACTGAGTCGCGCCAAACCCAGCGTCTGACACACCAACATATACGCAGTTAATAACCGAACGTACCCTAATGATTTTAGCCAAACTTAGCAGACATATCAAAAAATGTTATTGTTTATTTTCCATCGTCTCTCCCTATAAAACACTGTCCTTTGGTCTAGCTAAAAGTGAGTTTTTAGCTCGGATGTTGTTTCTATCTCTGATTAGAAAACAAAAACTTTATACATCAGTATAACTTTTTCTTTTAGATTCTTTATAATATCATAACGTAAACGTAACGAAACCGGGCAATGTGATTTTTCAGAGTTATATAGTACTTTCTACGATTATTTAGACACTACTGACATACGGTAAAGAGAAACATCGTGAGGAAAGGACTTATAATTTCGAAATATAAGTTTGAAATCGCCAATCCGCCTTAAGTAAGCGTGGTGATTAATGCCCAAACCTTCTCCGTGTGAAAACAGGCAGAAGGCACTTATAGGCTGATGAAAAAGAAAAAGATATTACGCCCAACAAAAACATATAAAAATGTAAGGAGACATGCTAATAGTATAGTAATTTCGTAACTATTACGATTTGCCTTACCTCAACACAGCCTCAAGTTGTATAACAGCTCCCGTTTGTGAAGCGAGTGCCAGTTTAGTGCCGTCCCCGCTCCACGCCAGCGCTCGCGACGCATACAAGTTTGGTATATTCAACATGGACAACTCTACGCCGCCAGATTCCTTCAGCTCGCCTACTAAGCAACCATCGAACACGCCAAACGCCAGCGTCTATAATTTCATTGATCAACTGCTGTTATAAGTATACCTACTATTTCATTATAAATGTATAAATAAGTTATTTTACAAACATTTCAATTAACCAAATCAAATCGTTTATTTGCGTTTCACAGGTATTGTAGGACAATACCTAAGGAATTTAGATTGCAAACATTAACGCTTTCCCGAGAACTGTTGGCGGTTCGTTTTCCCGTAAGTTGTTTAGTAATTTCCATAAGTTCGGGTTACTTTGACCCTGGGAGGTATCTTTGATCCAAATTTTCGAACCAATGAAAAACGAATATACGTTTGGTTCTCAGTTATTATTGGTTAAGGAGTTTGGATCAAAGTTACCCCGCAGGGTCAAAGTAACCCGAACTTACCCGATAATTATAATGTGTTCAATGTGATGATCCGCGAAACAGGACATACAAATGAGAATATTCACAAAATACTTATTTTCTATTCAAAATAAAGATATATCCAATATTTTAATCTATTTTACTTTGATATGAACTCACTAAGACTGTAATAACAATTTTCTATCAAATACTTATTTACATAATTTTGTGTAGAAAATAATTACTGAAACAATTGTCTGATTAGGCGCTGGGCGATGTTGGCATGACGTGTAAAGTATTCTTCACATATTTTAATTATCAAGATTATAATAACTAAGGCAATCTTACCCTCTCTTATATTACATTTATCTACAAAGCTTTATATGTTCTCCTCTGCACCTTGATGAAAAGGTGTTATTATTTATTACAAGTTTTCAGGTTTCACCCGCTGCTCAGCTCCGTTTAAACGTAGCGTGATGTTTTATAGCCTATAGCACTCAGGAACATTGTAGCTATCTAGCAGTGAAAGAATTTTAGCAATCCGACTAGCGGTTCCAAAGATTACCCCCTACATACAAACTTACAAACTTTACCTCTTTATAATATTAGTATAGAAGTATAGATGAACCTTGTGCTACACGTTAACATCTTTAATGCTATTAGAGCTAAACATACCTGCCCTGATGGACTGGGGGCTGCAGATATGAGATCGCGTCGATCAGGTGGTAACTGAGGTTCCAAACTGCGCAGAAGAGCACCACGCTGCGCTTCATATACAGACACGCGACCGTCGCAAGATCCCACAATGAGCTGGCATTATAAACCATTACACATTATAAGTCAGATATGTAATAAATTATATTATTTATGCTTAATGCCATATTGCTGTAAAGCGGAGTCTACTAACACAAGCATTTTTTGTTTAAGAGAAAGCTCCAATTATCTACTAACTGATTCAAAACTTTTTGAATTATAAAATATTTTTTTGTCGATCGTAATAATCGGCATACGACTATTATAGAATGTTAAATTAAAACTAAAAGGAGAGTATGATATTTTAATATACCTAATTCACACTTTCTTACTTATTTTAAAAGTGTTCACATTTTGGGGGAGAAATCATCAAACATCTGCTCCCACCTTAGGCGGAAAAAATGTAAAGCTTAGGCAGACTGACAAAAAACTACCAAATTCCTTCTCCTGATCCAGGCCAGGAATGCATTATTGAGCATGGACCCGTAACCTCGGCGATTAACTTGGTAAAAGTACTTAGTATGGATTAAAACCTTTAAAAATCTTTAAATCTACACATATTATGTAAATACATAGTTTAAAAAAATCTTACATAAGGGGGCAGTAGAACAAGAGCAGTTGGAGGTAATGCATATCGCAATAAAAGTCGTCCGTTAAGGTAGAGAGTGCCGTCGATATGGCCTGATGCGAGAGTACCCTCGCCGCCACGAGCCAACGACACGCAGCAAGCACCCCCGGTCCACATACTACTGCTTTTGTTACTCTTGCAATCCAGAGATCTAAGAAAAATTATGTAAGTAATTATGTATTCTCCGAATATTTCCTAAATTATAAGTATTTAAGAAATATTTGTATAGGTATTAGGTACGCCTTATTTACAAAACCAGTTTTTTCACTAATAGGTACGGTTGTTTCCAACTAGTCAAATTCAATACTTTTATCCAAATGTCAAAACCGATACTTTTCTATGAAAATTGTATGAAATATCGAATTATGACGTCATAGCATTTTTGCGTCAAATAGCTTACTTATTTTTAAACAATTAGCTAAAAAATATCTAAAACTTAGTGTATCGATCGATCGATAAATAAAAGTATAGTTATTTTTTCAATATTTTATCGTATTAAAACGTCGAATTAATTTATTTTTGACCTAGGAAACTATTCAATTAACTATTAAAAACACTTATGCTTTTTCAATGTTTAGCAGCTATACTATGAAAAAGATTTTTTTGAGCTTATGTCAACCATAACGAATGCTACGTTAAACACGTTGTACCTACCTACCTAATAAAAAATAAATCTATTTGCCTTCACCCACCGAAGTCTCAATCCCTGCCCCTCCCTCCGCCCCTTCCCAATCCTTAAATATCTCCAAAACACTCGTAACTCCTCTGGTGTTGCATGGGCGCCGATTGCTTACCATCAAGTTATCCGTCTGCTGGTGTGCCGACCCAGCTTACCAAAACTACTAAAATTACACAAGTGTTGCATTAACAACCGAACACTATAAATTTTTCTCAGGTGAGTTTATTAGTAAGTACCTAGGTACGTTGTTTTACCTCATTTCATTTCACAATTTTTAAATGATGACAACAACTAAAAGTATTTGGAACCTTAAACTTCATCAGTTTAGGTAGTATTAGGTAAAATTATTATTTTGTAAAGTCATCCCAGGCAGGCATATTTTTTATATTAGATAAAGCTCTTCGCCAGATCCAAAGAATCGTAGCGTGATGTTTTATAGTCTATAGCCTTCCTGGCTAAATGGAATAATAAACACAAAAAGGATACGAAAGCTTCCGACTAGTCAAATTTAATACTTTTATTGAATGGTCAAAAAAAAATCGCAAGGTATGAGGTTGAGGGTGTTTTAAAGTCAAATAGCGTATTTGTATTTGAATGATAAAAAGTATATAAACTAAAACCCAACTACAACAAAAACCGACGCTGAAAAAGTATAAAACAAGATTTTCAGAATACTGAAAGGCGTAGTCACACGTTATCAAAGTGCAGGTACGGTAAGTAAATGTAACGTGTGACTACGCCTTTCAGTATTCTGAAAATCTTGTTTTATACTTTTTTTATGTTACCTTATCTTCCCATCAGTTGTGCCAGTATAAAACCCGTTGTCTGCTGGTAGCAGTGACATAGGAGCGCCAGTCAATGGAAACTTATTACAGATCACTTTCTTTCCGCTCCAATCAGCTCCTACGCGATACACGAACACCATGTTGTCACTCTGAGCCACGCCTAACAAATCTGAGTTCTCACTGAATGACAAATCTGAAAAATTACGACAATTTCTTAATAAGTGAAAATAGATATTTCTTGTTTGTTTTGTCTTAGGACTGAAGAACTTACTTGTTGTTTTCTTGCGGATATAAAAATATACATAGGTAGGTAGGATTATTAGGTAGGTTTTTACTAATGGTTGTTTTCATAACTACATATAACTAGGCAAACCCTTTCAGATCCTGCGATCTTCCCATCCTCTATGAGTTAACTTAACTTTCATAAAGCTTTTTTTATAAAAACACTAACTTGTTATAACATATGACTTTTTCCCTGCAGCAGGATCAGCAGGTTTCGTTGCAAACTTATCCCTACGCGTTCCCTCACGGTCAAATAATAACACCAATCGGTCACATGTAGCTACTGCCAGCTTTACGTTGTTAGGTGACCAGCAGATATCTGCTATCGGGCTCTCAATGTCCTGAAACCCATGTAACGCAGAATGTTTGAATAAAATTAAACATCAATATATAAAGTAGTATGAAACAATTAAGTTAATATATAAACCTGTGCTTCCAATAGTGTTTTAGAATACTTCAGCTTCATCTTTATTTTGCTTTCAACCTATTTCAATTTTAAATTACGCAGTTACAACCAACATCCACTTTCAATCTATGTATTGTTTGTTGTTATCAATGAAAATGGTTGCCACGCAACGTTTAAAATAGGCGCCTAAAGGACAACCCATGGAGTGTTCACTAAAAGTAACTATAATACTATTGATAACTAGCCTCTAGGCTTTTATTTCTTGTTACCAATAAGCTCGAAATTAGCAAAATATCAATTTATATTATTTTAAGTACAAAATTGAACTGAAATATGAAAAAAGATCCAGGATTTTTTTTGGTTGACTGGTAGAGAATGCCTTTGGGCATTTTATTTGCCTTTGTGTAGTCAACCTTTGTATTCTTAATGTGCATAAAGTGTTAAAATTAATAATTTAATAATATTTGGAATTATAAATAGTTACTAAAAATTCATAGACACACAACAAATATTTTTTCGTATAGCAACACTAGTCTTGTTTCATGTCAACTTGACAGGCGAAACAAGGACAAAAATTCTTTTCGTAAAAACAGTGAATTTGTAAAGACGTTGTAAGGTTAGAATAATTTTATCCGTTTTAATCTTCACGAATTCCAAGTTAACATTATATCTAAAGAATGTCGTGTATTCTATTTAGCCCGATAATTCAATTTCACAGCATATTTTCCCCCTATATCCGTACATTTCCAAAATTCCAACAGTGATGTTAGACAAGTGACGGCATTGTCGTGTAGTTGAGTGAAATTAACCTGCAATCGTCTATTTCCAGGACGTCATGCCTTTCGCGCGGTTTGTAGAACCAGGGCGTGTTGCCCTGGTAGCTGACGGTCCCCTGAAGGGAAAGTTAGTAAGCGTGGTCGATGTTATTGACCAGACCCGTGCTCTCGTCGACGGGCCTTGCAGCGGCGTCTCACGTCAACAGATCCGCCTTAACCAGCTGCATCTCACCAAGTTCCGTCTTAACTACCCATTCACAGCGCCCACTCGCATCGTGAGGAAAGCATGGACGGATGCTAAACTCAGCGAAAAGTGGACAGAAAGCCAGTGGGCCACAAAACTCGCTAACAAAGAGAAGCGTGCACAGATGACAGACTTTGACCGTTTCAAACTGACGTCCGCTCGTGTGAAGAGGAATCGCGCCAGGACAGCAGTGTTCAAGAGTTTGAAGGTGAAGGCCGCGCGTGCCGGTACCTTTGGAAAGAAGTTGGTGCCTAAGGCAGCCGCCAGGAAGGTGCGCACCAAGAAGCCCAGCGGCAAGAAACCGGCGAAGAAGTAATTCTTTAGTGCCTCAACAAGGTTATAAAGTGTGACTATCAAGGGACAGTAAATAAAGAATTACTCTAAGCCAAAAATTTGTGTCTTTTGTTATTTATAAACAGTCCCATGATTGTTAAATAGGTGAGTTTATTTGATATTATAGAACATGTAGTGTGTTTTTTTACTCAAACTGTTTTATGTTTCAGCTGAGGTGTGCTGCGCTGTTAATTAAAGGTTAGTAACGTTGAACTGTATTAAATTTTGTATAGTTTTTTCAATGATGAATTTTATTTTATAGTCTCGTTCGTATGAACTTTTATGATTTCAAAATCACCACATTGCTGAATTCTTATTCATCAAATTACAATTAAAACCTCAGGGTATATAGTGTGCTTAAATCATAATGTTGTTTCCAGATATTGGCTGTCAAACCATGTAGCTGCTGCATCATCGAGCAATGTAAGTTACAATATGTCATGCATCATACTCTATTATAACTGCAACTACCCAATGTTTACTATGATGAATTAAATTTTAGTCTCGTTCGTATGAAACACATGATTTCAAACTTACCACATTACTGATTGCAATAGCTTAATGATTAATTAAAACAATTTGCATATAATAAAAGACAGTAATAAAATGTATGTTCTTTTACAGGAAAAAACATTGCACTGAAATCACCTTTCATTTAGCACCATTAAATGGTAAGTCATATTTTAACCATTGATACATTTATATGCTTAATTGGCTTATTGTTTAACAATAAACTGTTTTAATTATATTTCAAGAATACCTTGTAACAGATTATGTATTTAAATCTATTTGCCCTTTAATCTTTTTCAAATATACCCTACCAAAGCCGATGTGTGCATAGCTAAGTCATGCATGCTTGACTCTGGATAGGAACATTATCACACTCTGTGTAAGACATGCAGTTGTCATAGTTGTATGTCCAAGGGTTGAGTGTGACAAATATTCCAAGTAAACTGCATATATAGCGTCAATAAAATAAGCTTCAATAGTTATCATAACTTTATATCATCATTATTTACACTTGATCTCAATCTTAAAGTTTCAATTTCTAAAGTCATTTTATTAACAGTAGTAAACGTAAACTAAGGTTGATTCAGATAATTAAAGCAGTTTCTAGAATTTTATTTTAATAAGTACTGATATGGTATTTATGAATAAATAATAAAAAAACGAATGTTAAAGTAAATTTTATTTTGTTAACAGGTTGCCTTGATAAGATGGCTGCCCTGTTTTCATGGTGTTAATTCTCTCATAGAAAAAGCAGTCAGTTGATGAATGCTGACAAGGCTCAGTTTGTCATGTGCCAGGTAAATACATATTGATACTGTACTTGTCTTGTAGTATTAAGTATACATTATTAATATTTAAATTTCAAATATACCCTACCAAAGCCGATGTGTGCATAGCTAAGTCGTGCATGCTTGACTCTGGATAGGAACATTATCACACTCTGTGTAAGACATGCAGTTGTCATAGTTGTATGTCCAAGGGTTGAGTGTGACAAATACTAGTTTCTTATCTTATTACAATCTTTGTATTTTATTTTACTTATTTTTTTATATTTTTTCAACAGGACTTCACTTCCATTAGTGTATGACTACAAGACAATCCAATGAGCAACCATGAAGGTAAATCAAGTTTTTAAATAAATATTATAAACTAGACTTGGTTTTATGCTACACAATAAAATGATGACTGAAAGTATCGCCCCTGGCAGATGTTTGATGATTGATCTTTACTGAAAATATTAAACAACCTTGTTTTATAACTACCTAATGTTTTATATCTTTTACTTAAAAAGACTTTTCTTTCCAGAATCTTCAACAGTTTACAATACTTAAAGCTCTTCAACATATCATGTCTCCTAGGTATGTATATAGAAGCAAATATAAATATTATTTTTAAAATATTTAATGATGACTTTTAGTATCGCCCCTGTCTGAATTTGATGATTGATAGTTTCTGAACACAAAAACTAACAAATATTACTTGTAGTTCTTGAAAACAAAAATACTAATAAATACAAATTCCTCACAGAAACCTGGGAGTGTAAACCTACACAGCTGGGTATGATTTCTAGCTCAAGAAATACATGGTAAGAGATGATTATATTTTATTTGTTATGTAATTTCAATCTTTATGATGATCATATATCGCCCCAGTCTGAACTAATGTGTGGATCCGATCAACTGATATTTCTTTCTCATTCGTAACAATATCACCAAGACATCCAAATATTTAAACAAATTGTTTTATTTCAGGTATTCAAAATTATGCATAGCAATGAAGTCTGGCAAGACAATGAGACAAGTAAGTTTTACTACTTTTTACATATTTTTACTTGCAATGACACAAGCCAGGTGATAATCATATAAATTGAATTTATATGATGGTGATTTTTAGTATATAGGTTAACATTTTAAATGATGATCTTAATATCGCCCCAGTCTGAACAACTATGTTGATTGATTTACTGATTCCACAACCAATCACTGTAATTAAAGTTATCCAAGAACAAATTGATAACTTAAGGTTTTGTTTCAGGAAAGTCATACATGAAAGTTGTACTCATTAAAAACAAGCAATGAAGACATCTTAGGTTGGTTAATTGTACATTGTTTTACTTCTATAAGTTTTATAATTTAAATGATGGTAACAAGCATATATCTTACACTTTTGATGAAAACATTTTAACTGATAAAATTGTGCTAAGTGAATATTTTGTAAACATATCCCAGGCAGTTGGTTACATATTTTGTTTAATATTATTTCAGAATACTGATAATTTAAGAAAATAGAGCTTGAAGCAACATCCAGATATCACCCATAAAAGGTTAGTAAGATTTTTTTGCAGAATTTGCAAGTAATTACAATGTGTAAATAATATTTTAAAATGATGAATATCTTAGTTATCCCTGTCTCACAAAGCCATGGGGAGAAAGATGGTATGGTAACAACTGAAATCATACCAGCCTAAGACCTATTATATTTATACTCTTGCACTATTCTTACAAAAAATATATTTTGTGCAGGTGTGCTACATTATTGCAATGCAAACTAGCGGTGCAACTTATTTATAAAAGAAGCTAAAAATAAGGTAAGTTATACTGATTGATCACTGACCCAACACATCTGAAGACCCTAAAAGTTATTTAGTCTGGTTTCTATAAATTGTGTATAATACAGATTTGCTCATCAAATGCAATAAATAATATTTTAAAATGATGAATATCTTAGTTATCCCTGTCTCACAGAGCCATGGGGAGAAAGCTGGTATGGTAACAACTGAAATTGTGACTCCACACTTGCTACTTCATTATTTTTCTGGTGTATATTAACTTGTCTTGTTTTTTTTTAGGTAAACTGTTCAAACTTGGGGCTGTAATAGATGTTTTTCTACTCGAAAAGGTATGCTTTACGACTTATATTTCCTTTTTCCTTACTTTAATCATACATGATGAATATCTTAGTTATCCCTGTCTCACAAAACCATGGGGAAACTATGGTCTTGGTAAAAACTGATTTTAAAAAAGTACAAACTAATTTAGTATAATATATTTTTTGTTCTTACAAATATACTTTTTTACAGATTTTAAAATCATCTTTGCGCTGCTGTGGAAATTTTGAAGCCTTTTTAAATTTAGGTAGGTATGTTATCTTTTTGCTTTGGCTAGTCAATTACGTGAAAATGAACTTACACCACGATATTTAAAATGATGAATATTTTTAGACAAGCATATATCTCGAAATCTTTGA